GGATGGCAGGATTTTGTTTTTGACAAAATGAGGCGAATGGATACTTCTACTTTTTACCAGAGGCAGGCGAGTGTTCTGCACACTCCCCAACATCTCCATACCTTGTAATCCTTCATCCCTTTGTTTTATACCCCCTTACCCTATTGTGTATACTTTCAGTTTCCTTGTTGTGGCTGTAAAGAGTGCTTAATAAATATGTAGTTAGCATTTGATGAGCAAGTTAGTCTGTCTAAACAATTGTCTACTGTTAATAAATGCAGTAGTGAAAATCATGACTTTGGGTTTGGTTGTTTGTTGTCTTTTGTACTGGTTTTGTATGGTCACTTTTTAAACACTTCATTAGTGAATTCACTGAAAAATTAATTTCTGAAATTACCAATTTATTTAAAAAAAAATCTTAATTGTAAGATTACATGGAAAATGAATTTTATACTTTTTTAGGATTTAAGTTGGATAATTTTTTTTTTTTTTAATTCACTTCATATTTTGAAAAGCCAATGAATACATGTTTAAGATGTTTCTCACTTCTTTCTAAAATAGAATCAATCCATACATTTTTGTATCCGTTGAACAATGATTTTGACTGAATATATTCATCTTAGTGTTTAACTAGTGTTCAATTTACTTCCAGCTGAATGAACATTGTAAAATTTTCAATTATTATATTGTCTGTTTTTGAGAGAATTTCTCTTTCCTGTTATTGTGCACATTAAGACTTTGATGAATAAATGATATTGCTACCTTCTCTTTTTTTTTTTTTTAATCATTTCACCCCAAACAATGTAATAAAGCCATTAAGATGTGAGAGAATGAGGGGGGAAAACACTTGAAAGAGAACAATAAAAGGACAGGAATTAAGAGAGAAGATAAGTTAACATTGCATTTAAATTTTTGAAGATCAAAGTTGAAAGAAGTTGGAAGAGAATTCCACAAGTGAGACGTCTAAGAAAAAAAAAAACTGTTACCATAGAACTTATGGTTCGAACCTATCCATTTCGACTGTAAAATGATGAGACCTTGCCATCAATCTAGTCCTGCACTTAAAATTCATGAAGACTACTTACCATAGACGAAAGTTCATCAGAACAATTACCATGAAAGTATTTATAGAAAAGGCACAGGGAAGCTACATTATGGCAATGGGAAAGTGACTGAAGCCAAGATACTAGATCAGGACCAATAACACTGCAGATTCTTCTTTGGATTTTATCAAGAATCTCTAAATATATGGCAGGAGCACCAGACCAAATTCAAAGCATGGATGAATGGTAAACTTATAAATATGTAAGATAGATTCTGGCAAGAAAAATTGTCTAGTATAACACAGGGAACCAACTTTCCTAGCAGCAGACCTAGCATATAGGATGATAAAAAAAAAGTAAGCAAAAATCACTTGATTGCAGTTTCATTTTCTAACTCAAATTAATACAGAAACCAATTTAATGTTTAATACTTACTTACCTATATAAATTGCAATGTGCCAAAATATTGATATCACTTGTTTTTTCTGTTGAAATATTTTTCTACATAGTTATCTCCATAAGCATTCATAACAGTTTTGATTGATTAGAATGGTTAAGGAAAATAAAAAAAAAAATAGAATTATAGTGAAGATTGTAGTTTCAGACAAGCAGATTTTGCCTGTATTTATTATTAGCACCCACATATGTTGATTCTTATAACAGTATTGAATATTTACAGAATTCATTCTTATAATTTTGCAAAATCTCTTTAATCTTGTTTATAGCTGTATTTTCTTAAAACTATAAAGAAATATTTAGAAATATTCATTGACTTCAAATTGTAATTACTATATATTAGATATTATATACAATCAATACTAAAATGAGTTTTTGTTGTTTCTTTCTTCTTTGATTTAGACAATAATGTGAAATGAATCAATGGTTGACAATAGTTGAATTTGAGTTTAGGTCTAATTTCAAAACTATGATTAGCAGTCATCTTGCAGATTACAATTGCTGAATCAGTGTAGTTGAAGTTATTGATTTCATCTCAAAGTGAAAGTATAATTGTAATAACATTTTCTGTACTTGATTCTTTCATCTGATTAACTTTTATGCCTCTGAATTGACTATTTAAAAAAAAAACAACTTCAATCCATCACTGATTTAGATTTGTTACTGCTGATAAGTTCTTAACTCAAGTGACAGAACATATAAAAGAATCACATAATGGAACTAAGTGAATGACCCGATTTATTATGTTTGATTTTATGAGAAAATGCATTTAAAAGAAATTAAGTCTTGTTGGTGATTTTAGTTTGCATTTATTTTGTGTGGTAAGAAATATATTGTCAGCTTGGGGGCATATTAAACTTTTACAGAAAAATGAATTTAATTAAATATTCAGTTAATTTCATTCTGTCTTATTCTTAAATTCAAACCCCTACTTGTTAAAATTAAATCTTTTAATATTGTAAATATTAAAGCTATACCAAGTTGCGAGAATAAAGCTTGTTTAGAATGCTTTTCATTTTATATAAACTTTACCCTCAGTTACTAATTTTAGTGACATGCTTACTAGAAGCATCTACATCCTTTAAGGGGGAAGTGGCTTGAAAATCCACTACATGAGTGATTGTTTATTTTAAATTGTTTTTAAGATACAAGTCATTTGTAACTTCTACAAATTTTATTTTCTTTTGCTCTTCTTTTGGTGTCAAGGTTTCTGCTTTTTATAGCTTTACTCACTTAAATGGCTTGGATATTTCAGGTCACATGTTGGCACTGTCATTGGCATAAAGGAACTGTTCAGAAATCCTGCTTCTGGGTGGGATGGGGTAAAATTGGTTTACTAGCAAGAAAAGGAAATAATGAAGGCAGCTAGTGGAAGAAGCTGAAGAAGTTTTGATTAGGTTCCCAAATGTCAATTGAGAACATGTGATGCAAGCACTTGACTCATTGTTAACTTTTACTTGTTTATAAAAAAAATCTCCAGGCAGCTTGCACAAACTGCTACTTTAAAAAAATCTTTTAAAATGCAATTACTTTAGTATTTTTTTTTTTTTTTTTTTTGCTTCCTCTAATCATTTTTTTCACAACTTTATTTAATATCCTTATATATTTGCATTCTGTAACAGGTCATGTTAACAAAGGCCAAATGAGCATACACATGCATTTTGCCATTATAATTTGTGGATTCAGATGTTACAAGCATCTTTTATATATAGATACTTTCTAAGTTTGGTTTAGTTTGACAGAAAAACAGTAATGAAACATCTAGTGAGGCTCATACTCTATAAGAATCCATCCTAAATTAAGTTTATATAGGTGGCATTTGCTTATAAAAATTAAATACTTTTCTTTTTCACAAATGCTTTCAATTGCTTAAGCTGTCCAATTTACCATTTTGCTGTTCACCAATTTGTCTTCCCAATTTCAAATTTTAATTTTTTTTCTTTTAATGCTTCTCTGTTCCTTGGTAATTTCATGTGTGGCTGAAGGCTATCTTCATAAGTAGCTGAGCAAACATTCTGCTTGTCGTATGTTATTCCACTTACAGGAAATTACCTTCAGTAGCTATTAGCCCTGGAGTCAGTATTATTTTTTTTCTAGGTTTATTATCTTTAATTATATATTTTGATATTTACTTGCCAAATGCTTTGCATAACAAATTGCTTTTCTTCTGTGCATGAACAAAACTGAACAGCTTTGATTACTATTGCTTATTTGCAATAATTGCATAAACATAAAACATTTCAAATCTTAAATTATATAAATTCATTATTTCTTAGCAGTAGCTATAACTTTTCTCTTCACACAAAATGTTAGCCATTATAGTCACTTGTAGATTAGCCAAAGTATTTTGACAATGTAATTTTAACCATTAGTAATGAAGTATGGTTGCTTCATTTCAAATACTATTGTTTTTTGGTACTGTATTTTATATATTTTGTTGATGAAAGACTGTAATTCAAGTTTAATGAATTTCATCTTGTTTGTGAATGTCTGTTGAAAATATCTATCAAATCAAATGCTGAAATATTACCTACTCTTAAATTGGATTTATTACTTACTTGTTGTATTTGATTTAAACTTTTAATCATGAAAATCTTTGTTTCTTTTTGTTCTGGTTTGCATAAAATACTTGAATGGAGAATCTATTAATCTAGTTACCTGTTGGTAGCTCAACAAAAGTTGTCTAGTCTGTTGCAAATTGGTACCTAAAGATTCTTAATTTAGTAGTTAAAAGCTCCTACATTGCATATATTAGTAAGCAACTTGATGATATTCAGGATGAAATGATTGTTACAATGATTATCTCTATTAAAATCTTAACATATTATTTTTAAGAATAATCCACTAGCTAGAGATTAGTTGATAATGAGCCTGCTCACCCAACCTAGCAAATCCTGTCCTGTATGAAAGAGATCATACGAATTGTCATTTATTCATGTGTATTAAATCTGATGAATATATTACCTCATGTCAAAGTTCTTTTAGAAATGGAATAGAATTAATAAGTATTCTTTTCGGAATATAAATATTGCAATATGCAATCTTTTTCTAATAAAAAAAAAAGAAAAAAAGTTTGGTTTTATATTAAAACAAACTGGAATTCAGAAATTGAAAATGTACCAGTAAGGAAAGAGGATCTTCAGATATGTTTCTTCAGTTTTATATAATTGCAATTAAGATACAAACACACATTTTTCTTCTTTTTATCTAAACAATAAATAATCAGAACTGACAAAATGTTACAATTCTTTATTTCAGAATGATTATAATACATTGTCTAATAATTTTTGTAAATGGAATAACATTTACATTGTTACTGTTGAACCTATTGGAATAAGGAAACTCTTATTGCTAGTCAGTTGAATGTTTAGTAACCATAAATCATAGGCAGTCAATTTAAAAACTTTGGTTTTGAATTATTTGAATAATTGATTTGCAAACACTTTGAAGAACTCTAGTTTCTTGTATATTTTTTAATGTCTGGCTGCAATGAAAACACGTTTATTTTTTTTTTCTTTTAAGGCTGGTTCCACCAACAAACTTCATTATGTGCCTGTAACTATGCTTGAAGATGTGCAGGCTTTAAGAACTGTGGCCTTCCATCCCTCGGGCAGTTTGTATGCTATTGGATCTAACTCCAAAGTTTTACGTATCTGCTCTTTTCCAGACATTCAAGACATTCAGTAAGTATGATAATTTTCAGAGATGGTCAATTTTCTTGATGTCATCTTGCAAATAAATATTTAAGAAAATATTATCACTGATTGTTATTGACCAAAATGTCTGAATAATATTGGTTATTAATTTCTCATTTCATAATCAACAAATTGTTTGTGCAAATCTTTTTTTTTTTTTTTGTGTCTAATGCTTTGGTCATGTAGGGAAAATTGTGAAAATGGCCACCTCGGAAATGCCCGCGAATCTGTGTGACATGCAAACTCCGATTGTTTAACGATAAAAAGAACCAAAATGGCGGTGCCCATGTTTCATGCCGGGCGGTCACAGACAATTAACGTGAAGTCTCGTTGTCTCGTCATTCGCATGCAAATCATGGTTGGTCCTCGGCTGTATAAAGCAAGCACATTTTTGTTTCTGGGCACTGAGCTTTTTGCTCATGAGAAGGTAGGACATGTGACACTATTTTGTCGGTTACCCGCCTCGCGGTTCCTATCTGCTACTATCAGTTGAGTCGTTTTTCGGATTACGGTTTGGTGTGCAAGGATCCGGTGCGACTGAGAGATGGAGCAAGAGTTTTTGGCTTGCAAGTCTGGGAAGAGAATGGCACCCTCCAATGGAAACGAGGAAGTCAGATTCTGGAAATCCCTCATATGTTTACCCGTCGGCGCGTATTTTCGTTGTGTGGGAAACTTGTTGGACATTTCCCCGTGTGTGGATGGCTCAGGGTGGCAGTTGCATTCGTCAAATGCCTGGCAACTGCAGCAACCAATGGATGGGATAACATCAAAGATCCCTCTCTCTGTCGCATACTAGCGGAGATGTTAAATAGAGTATGGGAACTGGATCCCGTTGGAGGAGACTGGTGCATGGGTGGTGACGAGATCACAGTCTGGGTGGATGCGAGTTCCGTGGCGACAGAAGTGGCATTGGAAGCGAACGGAGATGTCATCAAAGATGCGTGTTGGCTGTGCCCAACTAATGATGCCAGGCATATTAATTTAGCTGAACTCGATGCGGCACTTAAAGGCGACAATCTAGCCCTCCAGTGGGAGGCGACAACATTGCACTTGGTTACTGATTCGGCGTGTGTGCACCGGTGGATTTCCGACACCTTGACCGGGAAGGCACAGGTGAACACAAGGGTGGCTGGCGAGATGCTTGTTAGGCGACAGCTGGGCATTATGCGATCGCTGGTGGAAGAATATGGATTGACTATAGATGTGACACTCATACAGTCCTGTCAGAACCGTGCGGATTGCCACACCAGAGTACCGCGCAAGTGGCTGGATCTGCTCAAGAGAGGAGGACCGGCGCTCGAGAGCTCTGCAGTGGTAGGGAGACGACTGGATGAGGACCAGGTGGCCAATACCCATCATCATAAACACAAATGAAATTGATAATCACTTGACATTAAAGGTATAAGAATTATGTGACTCTGGTGCAACAAATTTTGGTAAAAATGGTAGTATGCATGAGTGTGAATGTTAGTCTCTTGCTTGTCAGTATTAATGCTATCCCCTGAAAATACTGCACCAGCACTCATTTAAATAATACTAGTTGAAGTACCTGTCTACCTTGAGTAACAGGTCAGGATTAAAAATTCAAATGGTTATAATGACAGTAGAAAGATTCCTTAATACTGTAATGCTGAGCTTGTTGGATTCTGTTCAAATTAATTTTTACGAAAATGATATATTCTTGAAATATAGTCCTAGATAACTTTTAATACTAAGGTGAAAGAAATAAGGTGGATAACTAAGACATGTCGGTTTTACAATATCTTTATTTTCATTATTCACTATAAGTTAATGTTCATTTTCAATGACACTAAACATGTAGAGTAACTGTGTAATAATAATAATTAGTAGCATAAAAGAAAAAAAAATAGATTTCATTTATTCTTGGTAAATTTCCTGTGAGGAAATACTATGAAAAGTAGACAATTTTTAGGGAGAAAATTGTTCTGAAAAATTGTTGTTCCAAAACACACACTTACTTGACCAAATCTTTAATAAGGGAAATCTTGCTCTGAACAATTGTTACTACAAAAGCTATTTTTGTATAAGAGGAAAGCAATAGGAACTCCTCATGATGAACAAAAGAAGTTAAAAACATTGCCCTGTATCCAGTAATTGTATGCACCAAATTTGACAGATATTCATGCAAATTTCCTATATACTGTGAATCATTGTTTAACCTCAACAAAATTAAATGCTATGTGTATCAATAGCTGAATATTTTCTGAAGTTGATGAAATACTACTAGATGTTTTACATTTGTCAGATTTTATTATGCAAGACAATCTTTTCACAATAACATTGGTATTAACTAACTGAAGTTGGCAACATCTTCAGCGCACACACACACACACACACACACACACACACACACACCTCATATTGTGTTAGTTTCAGCTTATAATATCTATCCTTATTAAAACTCTTGATAACTTGTTTTGGAAGTGTCAAGTTTAATTATGCAAACAAAGTGGGATATGAAATTTTATTTATAAATAAATTCAAAAGATATATTAACCACAGGAACATGATTTAAGACAATATCCCATACAATTGAATAAATGATTTCAGTATTTTGAATTTTAATATTGGTTCCTTGACATTTTATACTCTTCAGTATTTCATTGTGTTAACATTTATTCTTTTGTGACTTTAACATCTAGTGGCTATTATTACTTCTCAGAGATTTTCTTTACTTGAATATTGTTTTCTACACTCATGTTAGGTTATGAGGATATAAAGAAAGATAATGGGTGACCCTAAATCAGAATGTAAAGGAATATAGTCTTGCATAAATTCTTTAGTTTAAATCTTGGTTTTGATTTTGCATTTATCTTGATACTATGACTATCTTTTGAAGAGGGTTATAACCAGAGTGCCTACAATAATTGTTGGCTTTTGTGTTGTGTTGTCTTGTTTGACAGTTTTCATGAAAGACCTAACCTTTAACCCCCAGCTTATTTGGTCCATTTAATGTAGCTCCTTATTTCTTGTTCGTGTTGCCAGCTATTTTCCAATTTCAAACTTTGTATTCCCATCAGCCAATAACTTTACTATATCTTGTTTCTCTTTGAGATTATCTTTCTTACAACACATGGTAATTGTCATATAATTTCAGTTTATTTATATAATATATATAATGCTATATTTACCTACAATGTGATGAAAATTATAATTGCATTAAACATTCTTACTCTAAATAAGTTGTCGGTATGAACAGATATTAAAAACTGTAATTTACATTGTATAACTAATAAGTACATTCTGAAAATTTTACTAACATCAGTTGATAAATACCAGTTTTATTGTGAATAAAATAAAAAAAAAAAAAAATTGGCTGGCACAAAGGGACAAAGTGTATTACATTACATACTGTCTGATTTTTTAATATTTTGAAAATTTAACATTACTGTTTTCATTATGAGAAATATTTGAAAAACTATACTCTGTTGAAACCAGGTAGTGATAAGGTATTACTGTATCTCTTTAGTACAAATGCCCATTTTTATGAGTGCTGTGCTCGTCTTGTTCTCCATTTTTCTTTTTAACTAGTTCAAGGGAAGGTAACTCTATTCTTTTGATTAAAGTAACGGTATAGAAGGATAGACTCAATTTTGCTAGAACAGGGACGTGTAATAAGAATAGCACCCAATTTTATATATATATATATATATATATATATATATATATATATATATATATATGAATCATGAGCAAATACATTATCTGTACAATGTCAGTTTGATGGAAGAAAAGTCACTGAAAGATTTAAAGTATTTGTCAAATTGTGAAAGTTAACATTATGTAATGACTTTTTTTTTTCTTTTCTTTTTACTAGATACAATTTAAAAAAAAAAGTAAAAAAACAAAATACTTAATTTAATTCTTCAGAATATTTTATTTTTATAAAATTTACTTTTGTTCCAAGTACATTTTAAAGATTTTTCTATATTACAAACCTGAAAAGTAACTACTTTTTAGTTTGTAATTTCTCTTCTCTCTCAAAGTTTTTAATATTTTATAATTGGCATTCATTATAACTTTGATAAAGAATGATCACCAGTATTCCTTGTCATAAACTTTGGAATTTGACACTTACTTACAATTAGCAAATCATTTTTGTTTCATGCTTCAATATTTTTTTTTCTTCACAGGCAGTCACATGTCACCCAACCTGCTAATGTTGTATTCAAAAGAACCAAGCATCACAAAGGCTCTATATATTGTTTAGCATGGAATGCTCAAGGAAACTTGATTGCAACTGGATCAAATGACAAATCAGTCAAACTAACAACATTTAGTTTGGATACCTGTACTGCTGATGGTAAGACTATTATTTATTATTTTATTACAATACTTTATTTTTGTTTTATTAACCAAATTATTGACCAACAGAGGACAACTTCTATGATTATAAGGTCTTTTGTTATACAAGGTATGTTGAAACTGACTTAACCTTGTTTTGTATTTCGTGGCATGTATGTGTTTTCTGATGTGCCTGTTTCTTTTCTTTTCTTGAATGTGTTAGTCACACATAATAGATTAATTTGCTGCAATCAATATTTAAATAAAGTCCGTGTCTGTTATTTTGTATATGATTAGCTTGTTTTGAATTCTTATAAATTTTGCTACTTTGGTAATCTGTAAATCTTTTGAGAACATTTTAACTTAGAGTAGCATCCACTAAATCAAATATTTTTAATTATGCAAATTCTAGCATAATTAAAATTACAGTAAATATTTGTAAAACTCTATATTATAAAGATCAAAGAATAAAGATAGTTATACAACAAAAACTTTACATTACCAAAAAAGTGTAGTGTCCAAAATTAGAGAATAAACATTGTCATATTTGAGTGATTTCTAAAACTAAAATGTAATAACTTTCAATGAAATGTGGCAACGTTTCAGTGTAAACAAATATTCATTATTCATCTGCATCATTCTTTCTGAAGTTATCTCAGTAGTGAATCATGCAAAACTGAATCACTCCGGTATCATGTTGTCACACTGAAGAGATGGCAATTTCTACTATTGTAAAAGAAATTTCTAGAATGTTAAAGCTTTATGATGATGCTGATCTGTTTAAGTCACCAAAACTTGTGGTAGAATTGGCCAATTTGAAAAAAAAAAAAATCACCATGGTGGGCAGTTTTGATACAGTAACAGCAGGCATTGTATGTCACATAACCAAAGAAATTGTCAAGAAAATTTTTCAGCAGATGGTATCATGTTTATATGAAATGATTCTTCTGTCATCAAACTCTTTATCAGTAAGTACCAAAAATCTAGACTAGTGTTTATAAATGAGCATATTGTCTGGGCCAATGAAAATTTGGTAAGAACATTCTTAAGGGTAGTTTTAATTTAGTTGGCTCTGGTGGCAGACCTTTTCAAATGTATGGCAAAAAGAAATTCAGTTAAATTTAATAGTAGCATATTGGTATGGAGGATATTTTCTGTTGATGTTGGCTCACTCATTTGCTCACATGGCAAAGTCAAGAATCTTTGGAAAATCATTTGATAATATTAAGGCAAGGAAACTGATAGCAGTGACTGATTTGTAACAGAAATTGAAGGAGAAATGAAACAAAATTTTCACTGAATAATGTGAAAATTAGTTGTCATAGATATGCAAAAGTAATTAAGTCATGATCTGTACATGTCTTATATTGATTCTGTATCAATATTAAGTTAACTTGTATCTTTGCAATTTCGTTAATTTTGGACATTCGGCTTTTTATAAGTTGTCTCCTCGATCTTTTTTTTTTTTTTTTTTTCATGCAAATTTCCCAGGGTGTAGAATTGTTTTTTTAAGAATATTTACTGAAATTTTTATCACAATCAAATCTGTGGAATTAGAAATTAATTTATTTTTAAACTTTTGTTCTCTAATATTGGATGCTACTGTCCTGAGAAAAAAATGTTTGTAGTAATAAATTGATTTTTCTGAATTCTCTCCCTTTGTGACAGGAGTCAAACGTATAACTTATTAGGAACAATATTATGAGAAAGATTGGGAAATAAACGAAGATTTCTTAAAGACTGTTGAGAAGGAAAAATTTTAAAACTTAAATGAATTTTAATATTGCTTGAACAAATTACTGTTTTTTACTTGTATGTTATGTTAAAACCTTTTTTCTTTCCATTTCTCCAGGTCCTGAAATTGAGCTGACCTGTCATGATGGCACCATTCGAGATGTTCTCTTTATGGAGGAAATTGCCAACCATTCTTCCACGTTGGTCAGTGCAGGTGCTGGTGACTGTTCTATATGTATTACAGATTGTGAACGTGGAACACTGGTGCGCAAAATGCAAGGACATTCTGGTATGACATTGTAAATTCCTTTTTTTGAATAATGGCTTTTTAGTATTAGAAATATCACAAATTTTGGGTTAAAAAAAAAACAATACTCATTATCTGGGAGTATATTTTACAAACAAAATTCATAAAAATGTTACTTTTAATTTTATACTTTGTGTCCAAATCAGCCTTTTATCTCTGATTCTATATCTCAGATGTGAGAATAAGTATGAATAGGTCTTAAAGTATTTCATATACAAGTACATCTTCCTATATGCACAAAAAGGACAAAAGAAAACAAACTTTGTCAAACTTTAATCATTAATTTTTTTTTTTTTTTTTTTATACCTTGCATTTGATCTCAGTCCCAGGTATACATCTGGTAGCAAGGGGTTCTGAGGAGTGTGGGACCACTTCTTAATTGCTGTTGTTCCCAAGTCCACCCTGACCCAGGGTAGTAGTACCTGTTAGGGTCCAAGCTATGAGCAAATAGCGAACCCACAGACAAAAACAAAACATTATGGAAGTATAAAATATATTTTTATAGTAAAATTACCAGCAATACATTTTTATTTAAAAAAAAACAAAAAAAAAAATAACCAACAATACAATTTTAAAGCAAAATGACCAGCAATACAATTTTATGATAGAATTTCCAGAAATACATTTTTATCTCGAGTTGAAGGCATAAATTATGATCAAAATATTTAGATTTTGTCATTAATCAACACATAGAGGTTGATATGCTGCTAAACAAAATCAACCAATCAACATGAAAAAACTCTTTCATAGCATTAATCCATATAATATCCTACAATTTCTTAAAGGAATCAAACTATATTCCAAAATATAACTTCAACAACACCATAACATAAAACATGCACATCTCTGCCTCTAGTAATCATGTCCACACAAACACAGAAGCTGAGTATCATTTACCATGTATTCAAATGTGAAAGCAGAATATTGTATATACTATTTTTATTACTTTAAAGCTCCCAAAAAAATTAAATTTAGTCATTAAATGACTCATAAGGAGTTGATATACCATTAAACAGTCAAATTATTTGATCTCACAGTTTTTAATGCTATTTCCAAGTATAATCTCAGTTTTATGCTATTTCCAAGTTCTTTTGGAGGTTTCCTAATTTTATAACCCTTCAGTTATTTCAGCTGTGTATACAAAAGTACCCAGTGTTTTCTTTTCATTGAATTTGTATTATATCTTGTCTTTTTTTCTATCTCTTTGTTTCAGGTCATATTTATTCCTTGTGTCAATTGAGCAGTCACATGTTTGTAAGTGGCTCACAAGATAAAACTGCTCGCTTTTGGGATCTCAGAGCTTCAGCTGCCCTCACGTGTGTACCTAGTATGGAACCTGGTCAGTCAAGATTTCCCTTTTTGTTCATTTTAGCTGTTTATCTTCATTCACTTTTGAAACTCTACTCATCTTTATTCATTATCTTATGAGTAAAGAATGTTTTGTTTCCTCAAAATTGTGTTTTTTGTAACCAGATAAAATGTGCTGCTTTAATCTCTTTCAGGCAGTGCTTTTGCGTCTGTATGTGTAGATCCATCTGGCCGCCTCCTCTCATCTGGCCATGAAGATGCATCTGTAATGTTATACGATATACGTGGTGGTCGTGTTGTACAGAGCTTCAAACCACATCAGGGAGAATGTCGTACTGTGCGCTTCTCAATGAATGCCTATTACCTTCTCACAGGTTCCTATGATCAGAAGATTGCACTTACTGACCTCCATGGTAAATAACCTCCTTTTCACTTTGATTATGCCCTCGGGCCCAATGAGTTATCACTAGTGACATCTGAAAAACAATATTGATCCAGAATTTTACATTTGGCCACTTTTGTTGGTATTTAACATTAAATATTTATGGCTTTTGCAAGTTTTTAATATCTGTTCGATCTATATGAAATTGTTAATTTTGTTTCTATGCTTTATATCACCCCCACACAACAAATATTTTATATTTTGTGTGTTAAAAAAAAAAAAAATGAATGCTGTTCATTTTTACTACATTTTTATATTTCTGCAAATATTGAAAACCTTTAAATTTGTGATTGTCCTGTTGCATACTTGTATGACTTCAGACTGAGCCATAATGGAACTGAAGCCCTGAGAAATATCAGTACTGTATATGAACAGAGAAAGATTTTGGTTTAAAGAACTTTCACATGGAAATTTAATTTTAGAAAAGCAAAAGATGTTTGTCAAAAACATTACTCAATGATGAGAATACAGTTGAAAATTATCCAGAAGTTACATTCAGAGGAATTGTTAATTTTAGTGTAATGACTGGAATAATTTGAATGTTTAGAAAAAAAAAAAATAAAAAGCTCAATAAATGAGTTTCTTGTGAATTTAATGAGTGAAAATAAATACATAGAATCCTGCAGGCTTCATGTTTTAACAGAAATAAAATTGATTGGTTTTTGTAGCACCATCATTTGTTTTATATCAAATAACAGAAGATTAGTATGTTACACTGTCCTTGATTATTAGCTGTAGCAAAAGTTATAACTTTTTTTTTTTTAAAAAATGGCCTGACTGTTAATATATAGAGATATGTAAACTTAGTTTTAAAAACATATATTCAAAACTGAAATTACACAGCTTGGTGAATAGAAACAGTAATTTTGCTATATGGCAATGCCTGCTCTTTTATCATACAAATGAGGATACACAAAATTGAATCTGTGAAAGAGGTTTTGTTGCATCTGGCTTTTCTCTGATGGATTAAGCCTGAAGCAAGGTAAGAACTTCTCCACTCAAGATCAAAGTGAAAAAAGATTTTCTGTGAATATATCTCTTTAAACAAGGAATTGTCGACTGGCTACTCAGATGAAATAGATGCTTTGAGGTTGAAGGAGTAAATTTTGATTGAATAATTACTCTTTAAAACTTTCAAACTTCCAATAAACTAAATTATTTAAGAGTTTTGATAATTGGGCTTCATATTTATGATGTAAGTCATCTTTCAGATTATCAGCTTTATCTGTTATGATATGCATAAATAGGAAATCAGTTTTTTTTTTTTTTTTTTATGCTGAATAATTTTATACAACAAACAAAAATGGATTTATAATGCAGGAGCCCAACTTGAAATTGATATATTTCACTGCTAATTAAAAAATTTAGTTGTCTGTTTGGAAAGTTTTATGGTCTTCCTTTTAACAATCCAGGGAAGATCTGACCTGTAAGTTAGTTGAATTATATGACCATCAGTTAACACATGCACTCTTTTTTGAGTATTTGAGTAATATAGACTGCCAGCTAAAGAAATTTGTGGTTCTTTATGGGGATGGGTGCTGAAAATTTCTAGTTCAATTCAATTTCCCAAATCTGGCCAAACATTAATTTTTTTTTTTTTTTTTTTTTTTTTTTTTTCAGTCTAAGAATCTTTTGGTATTCTCTTATAAATACTTCACTGGTTAAAGCTTGCTCATAGAAAATTCCTCACCATTTAAGAAAAAAAATGAAACTCTTTAAAACTTTTAAGCAAACTTAAAAAATACCTCCTCAACTTTGTTTCTGAAACTATGATGCATATATACTATTTGACTTTGTGGTAATAAGCTGGTTAGATGAATTAACTTTTTTTTTTTTTTTTTTTTTTTTCTAAATCTTACAATAAGTTCTTCCCTCTTTCAGGGGATCTGCTGCGTCCTCTCCCCAGTGTGATTGTGGCTGAACACAAGGACAAAGTTATCCAGTGTCGCTGGCATCCATCAAAGCTGTCATTTGTCAGTACCAGTGCTGACCGGACGGTTGTGTGCTGGGCTCTCCCACTGCCCTGAAAAATCTGTTCCTGTGATTTGTCAACCACAGACAAGGATTGTTAAGTGTGTCAACACTTCAAAGAAAGACAATGAAGATGACAAATACAGCAAATAAGGAAAGGAAGATCGGCCATAAAAAGCTAAGACCAAAACAACAATTATCTGCGCTTTGTAGCAGGAGTTATGCATTTGTCTCCTGCTGTTGCTGCAAGAATTTTAGAATTCTTCCTTTCTTTAGTGTAATCCATTCTTCAGCAGATGTGGCCAACAAGTGAGAAGAAAAAAAAAATCACATTATGCATTTAAAGAATCAAATAAAAGCAAGGAAAATGGTTAGTCATTTGCAGTAGTTGCTGACCAGATGACCACTACTTTTCACGCCTGTCTGCTGGTGACTTAATCAAAATATACAACTTTGATTTTTTTTTTTTTTTTTTTTTTTTACTATTATTTTTATTTGTTCATTTGTTTTACTTTTTTAAGTAAGTTATATAAATTCATTTACCATTTTTAACCCCAGTGTTTTGTGCTTAGAGTGTGACTCCATAATACATTTCTATGTGGTCAAACTATGGTCTACCTGTGTAATATATTAACTTTTAACAATACCAAAAACAGAAAAAAACCAATAAACTATTTGCTCAGTTTAGCTTCTTTGTCAACATTTCAGAATGAACATTAAAAACCAGCCAAACTCTAAGAATTGAAAATTCTTACCTTTTGAAGAATATCTGAAGTTTTTGTTTTTGTTCCAGTTTGTGTCTGCGTCTGTCCACTCCAACACATTCGAAATAAAGATTCAATTAAAAATGAAGCTGTTTCTTTTCTTTTAATTTTATTGTACTATCTTTTGCCTCCTCAATATCAACTTAGGTTTTATTATTGAATTAAAAATGTCTATTTTATGATTATAATGTCAATTTAAATATATTCCTCAATTACTAATACATTTACAGGTAGATATTTATGTATTATTTCACATACAAGAGATTATTTTTGTTTGGTTAGGATTATATCAATTGTTACTTGTTAACCGAGATGGAAACCTTTTTGTTTTTGTAATTTGCTCTAACCACTGAACCAAACTAATTCAAATCACTTGGAATAGACCATTGTATTACAGAATGCATTCTCTCTGGTTGAAGTAGTTATTTAGATTCATTTCTACTTTTATTACTAGGTCAATAGATTTATAGCAATACTTTCATATTAAATGAAAGCACTTAAGAAAAATCACGGTTATGGATTTATGGGGGCATTAATTTATCTTTACTGTATTGCATAGATGCTGTTTCTTTATTTTTATCACCCTTTAGATCTTGACAAGACAGTTTTAGCTTAATCATTGGAGGTTCAAAATTATCAACATGTTTGTTAGTGTATTTGTTTTGATGTTTATTCTTAAATGAAAGTTTGATATTAGTTGCCAATTTGAGCAAACATTTAAGTACTCCTTGAACTCGCTTTTGCTAGACTAAGTTTTCTTACACATTTAAGACTTACATTAAAATCAAGGAAAAAGTCTATATATTTTCTTTTGTCATATTACAGACAATTGGTTTCTTATGTTTTATTAAGAATCTAAAATATTTTTATAATGAGAAAATAAACAGATAATTAAACAGATTAAAAAAAAGAAATAAAGGCATTCCTGTTATTAAACAAAGATTTTTTTACTTACTAAAAAAAAAAAAACAAAAAAACATTAATTTTCATTCTTTTCATAGTCATTTGTTTTTGTTTTTTTTTTTAATTGTGTGGTTCCAGAAGATTATAACACTGGAAATTTTTCAGAGCATTTTAATAACATTAATCTTTCATTGTTTTCTTTTTTTTTTTTTTTTATTAGAGCAAGAAAAAAAAAATTTTTATTTTGGATTTTTTTCTTTTTGGGTTTCTTTTTTAATTTTGATTCATAAGTGATGATTTATTTGTAGTGTCTTAGTTTTTCTTAATAAGTTTTTTTTTATTAGACAAAATTTGAGAAAGGTTATACTAAAGACTAGTTTAATTTATGTTGTGCTATTTATTGAAAAAAATCAATTCGCAGGAAGTAGGTACCTCCACATAATTACTAAAAGATCAGCCTATTGTGATGAAAACCTGTGCCAAATGTAATGAAAACAGTTTTATCGTTAAAATCTTTATTATTAAGAGGAATAATCAAGTATTTTTTTTGAATACTTAATGAAATTTTGTACTCCTTTTTAGTATCTGTCTATATTTCTGAGATGAGGTATTATGTAGATTATTTACATTATTTGGACTATTGTCCTCATCTTTGTTGCCATATTACAACGTTTCGGTCGTTGTACGTTCTGGCCTTTTTCAGGTGCTTGGAATGCTGAACCCTTTATTTCACTTGCTGGGGTAGACTGTTCTAGTTCCATGTGCCATGTCTAATGGATGCCAGTTATCTCCTGTTAATTCACCTCTCTAAATTCTCCACCACCTTAACCTTTTTAGAACATTTGAAATTCTGATTTAAAAAAAAAAAAAAAAAAACTTGTTTCAACAGTTGTACTAAATTTAGCAAATTTTTAGCCTTTTTTTATGTGGTGACAGACACATTAATTTGGAAATTCTTACAAAAATCAAATTGTTGGATTTCAGGACTTATTCATAATTGAATGAAATTATTTTTGAGATTTTTTAATTTTTTATTTTATGACAACTTTGAGAAAATCAGTGTGATAATTTTTAGTGACTATATTAGTTAAAAGCAGAATTTTTTTTTTTTTTTTTTTTTTTTTTTTTTTTTTTTTTTTTTTTTTTTTTTAATTCAAATCACCAAATGTTTTTGCAAAATTGGAACTCGTCTTTGTGAAAATCTGTTCTGAATTGAAAAATAAAAACAATAAAACTAAGACATTATTTAATTGGAGAAGCTTTTAATTGGTTTTATGAATAATACATATATACATTAAAAAAATATTGTCTGAAAATAATTTCTCTATGAAAAATGAATTTTTACAAGATTTGTTCTCATTTTTTACAATTTTAAATTGAATAATTTATAAAGTTTTTAAATCTTTTAAAATTCAATGTGTTAACTCTTAGGAAATGTTAAGTAAACCTATATTTACAAATCATATATTGTAAAGCTTATTACAATCTCAAAATCCCGAATTTTGATTTATTTTTCTGTGTGCTATACATACAGAAATTCTAGATATGGATGTTTAATCCTATAACATTATCATTAAAATGTCGTGTGTTGTTCCCCACCCACTCTGGCCACAAATCCCCCCCCCAACCAAATACCCTTATATAAACTCTGCTCCACCGTACTTAACTATGAACATGTTTGGCAGTCAATTGTCAATAAATTGATTAACATGTCAGAAAAACGAGACCCCATTGTTAAAAAATGCTTGTATCCAACATTTTATGCTATAAATAAGTAATATTTGTTTCAAATCAGATTAATTTAACTTTAAATTTGCTCATTTTCCTCAAATGTTTCAGAAATATTTTATTTTTGCAAGATTTTTAAAAACTAAGAATTAACTTTTGTTTACAAATGTCTCAAAATGGGTGTTCTCATCTTTTTTTTTTTTTTTTTGGTTCATAGTATTTACTTTTCTCTCAGGGTTTCCTTTTGTGAGAAAACAGTGACACTGGCTTTTTATGTTTAATAATATATTAAATTTGTGTGCTACTACAACCCCCAACCTTAGTATTAAATTTTAAGTAAATCAGTTCACCCAAGTGACTATCTATATGTGTAAGAAAAGATCCTCTGCTGCCTACATCATCAAGTCATGACTTATGCAAATATCAACAAGAGATCATAGTTGCTGCCCTGAAGAGTGTTCCTATCTTATAAGCATAACATTATCTTCCATTAGTATAAAAGCCAAGGAAAATAATTCGAAAATTATTGCAATCTGTTTACATCAAAAACTTGCCAAGATAATGTTTCCCTGTTCACTACAATCTTAACCTATTGAAGACTAAGAGTTAACCATTATCTTCCCCTCTTATCTGTGTAAACTGTCCCTTAACATGAACCTCTATCTTGAGTGGCCCCCAGGCCTTGTACAGGGTGAACCTTATTATTATTTTTTTTTTTTTTTTTTTTTTTTTAAATCAGATTTGTACCATACCACATCAATCATCAAAAGTAGTTCCACCTTCTGGAGATTACTCTTCCAAACCAAACCTCCTGAAGAAGGAAGGAGGAACATTGAAAAGCCATAATCATAATGGCGTCAAGAAAATCTGGTATAGCTGATCATGTAGCATTACAAAAGTTGGTTGACATGTCAAAAGGTAAGAGATTCATCACGTGATTGGTGAGAAAATTAAGTCATCCTGTCAGAAAGGCATCATATCTACTGTACACATCCATTTTCTGTTGTCACTCATGACCTTGCCTCATCACTGATTCAAGATACAAAAAGGCAACTGTCAAGTAAATTCACTTCTATTTTCTATGGATGTGTGGGTGGTGTGATGAATATTGGTTTGAAATGAGAATTCAGAGAGCCTATTACATTACATTCACTTATGTGCATATACTCTTGGGAAAGGTATTCATCCATCTCTTTCGGCTATGGGTTAAATAATGAGACAGGCTGGGCTCATCAACCTCAGTTGACAACAAGTCTAGAAGATCAACTCTGAATTCTAAACCATATCTAGCCCTAATGAAGTACATACTATACAGCTAAGGAAAGGACCATGGAGTTCAGAGTGAATGTGATAAAATTGATGCCAATGTGGAGTGATTGCATAGAGTTCACAGGAATCTTGCAAAGCACATCAAACTTTACATCACAAATGATGGAAAATCGTATCAAAGATCTTATTTGTTAATATTCCAATTCAATATATTTAAAATTTAATTTCTTAAAAATATGCATTTTTGGCCAGAGTGTCCATACTTTTGGGACACTGTATATTATAAATATTATAATATTCTAAGTGTAACTTGGATGTGGCACAAGACCAAAAGTATGGAGCACCTAGTGAGGATTGAACTCACTACTCAGTCGTAATTGATCTAGTGAGAC